ATATATATATATGATTCTGTTTTCTCAAGGTTGTGTCTTCCTGGTCGAATGTACTTATTGTAAGTCGCTTTGGATACAAGCGTCAGCTAAATGCAATGTAATGTAATGTAATATACATTAATTTGATTATAAAACAATATATTTTTCAGTGGGCTGTGTCCGTCGAAAACTGCTAGCTACTGGCTGTACGCACCTAGATTTTGCTGCCGTCACTGCTCGGCTCTTGGCAGTTCAGGCATTTATCAAACCTGGCAACCCCGGGTTTCCTGGCAGCTGTCAATCAAAGTCCAGTGGCTCCGCCCCAAAGTGCCAGAAACTTTTCACGCGCGCGTAGACAGACTCCGCGAGGCTGACACTCCCGCGAGCAAGCAAGAGGGCTATCTCAGAGCCGCTCGCGGGGGTTTAATCTGCGCGCGAGGGTCATTTATGCGCGTGTAAAAGCACATTTTCCGCTCGTGAGTAGCTTGTTTTACGCGCGAGAATATTGACCCAAATCTGACTCCATAATTCCCACCAGCAATTTCTTCAGGAATTGCATTCTCTAGTTCAAATTTGATATTAGAATATACATCTTATTTTCATAAACGAGAACTACAGTCTAATTTTGTGATAAAAGTCCACTTTGATTAAATACTTACCAGAAAAAGGAATGTGGTTATCAGTCTGTGGTAAAATACAGAAGTACAGCTCTGTTTGAGTTGGTTCTTGGTACTCTCCAGTATCAAGTAGCAAGTATTCTCTGTTCCTGATTCCGGGTTATCACAAACTGGTGCATAAACACATTCTATCAGTCTGCTTTGGCCCAAATTGTCCAAATGAAAATATATATTTTGAATGCAGCCTGACTGCTTATGTATTTTTTTAATGAACATCTGAAAGTAAAATTGAGAATCAATTCATATCATATTCAGGCGTCACCTCTGTAGGTAACTATTGTAAATCATCTTTGGAGTAGAACACTTAAATTAAGCAGACCCATAAACCGATGCGATGCATCCTCTTGTGACTAAATTGCATGTTGTTTATATGGGGTATTATATCACTTTAGTCAGGGTTGGGAGGGTTACTTTAAAAATGTAATCCGTAGTAACATTAAAAAAAAAAACAACGAGTGACCTAATCTAAGTATCAACATATAAAGTAATGTAACCTGATTGCTTTCCGATACTTTTGGATGACCTCAATATCAAATGCAATGCAAATTATAAACAACAACAAAATAAATATCAATAAAAAATGTTTTACTTAAGTGTATGTCAATAAGTGTATGTCAGAATGTAACCTTAGAAAAGAAGAAACCAAAATATTTCACAACAAAAATGTAGTTAGAGTAATAGTTTACAAATGCTGCTAAAGCTTAATACATTTATAATCAAACATCATTTCTGACTCTTACAGTATACTGTATGTCTATATGTTTACGTAAACATCCAATGGTAATTGCATTTATTGTTACCAAAGTCAATACAATACAATTATTCCATGATGTCAATGTGGATTTAGTTTTCTTGATAGATCAGTAAAAATAAAGACCCTCAGAAGGAAACTCCAAACTCATTTAGCAGAAACCCCCCTAAAAAATTAAGATGCCACCATTTTTACATTTGTATGTGTCAAGACAGGAAAGGTGTGACATGCTTCCTTGTTTTCTACTGTATAAAGCCAGACTCCAGCACATTGACCCACAGAGCACTCTCACACCACTCTCACATCACTGTCACACCACTCTCACATCTTCATCGGTGCTGAAAGATCAAACAACCGCCAAGATGATGACTAAAGCCACGCTCCTCCTGTCCGCTCTGATGCTCTGCTGCTGCATCGCCTCTCTGCAAGGTAACACATTTTTTTTTTTTTTTTAAGTGTTCTTAACTGTGTAATCCAGTATGTTGGAATGATTCCTCTTACTATGATTTTTTTTTGTAATTTGTGCATCCTAATTTAGCCAAACACTAAGCTGCCATCTGCATCTAATGATAGTTTACCTATATTGAAGCTGTACATTTTTAAGAACTTTATGTTGCTCTAATTTAAGACTATCATGCTATAACACCAATTTCATTTTTGATGATTTGCTATAGGCAGGCAATTTGACAAAAACACAATAATTATGTTTCTATGAGGATGGTTTCATTGTTTTATTATTTTCTTTTTGATTTATTGTTCCTTTTCATTTAGAGTATGTTTATTATCTTGTTTTCTTTGACCACATTTCATACTTTCCACTATTCTCAGTTATTAGCCAAGTTAACAGTGTTACAATCTGTTATGTGTTAGAGTACACTCCTGACACTGGAAACAATCATAACTCACGGTTCAGTTACTTTAAACCTTGCTCTTTGCTTTTCCTGGAGCTTTCAACTTCACCTTGGGCTTTTTTCTCAGCCGAATTTGAGTAATTCCTTTTATCAAATGAAAAGTGAACCTGAGCTAACTTTGTCCTCTCAGGAAGAAAGTGAGATGCTGTTCAAAGCTCTAGAAAGATCTACCAACAAGAAGTGCCTTGAGTTTGAGCTTTTGTGTCAAAAACTATTTCCAAGGTTGAGAATGACATTGACCATTAACATCATTTGTGTTTCAACAGTAAAACCAAACGTTTAAAAAAGTGAATGAAGCAGTATTCACATTTCATTCAGATTTTCAGAGGTTTCTCAGGGGTAAAACTTGTGTTCCATCTCACAGCTTTTCCGAGGCAGCGCTGTATGTGCATCCGGACCATCTCTTCTATGCCTGTCCGAGTCATCAAGAGAATCGAGGTGATTCCCATTTCAGGACACTGCCGACGGACTGAAATCATGTGAGTAGTCAAGATTAATTTCCAAAACTGCGGAACCTTTTTATGGTAAAACAGGTGCAAATATATTTTATATTTCTGATTGATTATGAAAAAAAGAGTCCAGAGTTCAACTTTTTTTTTACATCACAGGACCACAGATTGAAATTAGCTATTAGCTATAATCTGGCATATTGCATCTCTTCTCTTTGCTGAGATTAATGTTTTTGTATGCATGGTCCTTCTATAATAAATACAAATACAAAAATCACACAAATACTGTTATAGAAGCCAAACAGCAGTGTGGGAAAAATCGCGTAAGCTGCTTTTTAAGAGGCAGTAATAACAATGTAAACACTCTCAATTACAATAAGTCTAAATTGTATCTACTAAAAGCAAGTTATACAAGCATACAGTCCTTTAAGTAAGTATTTGTATTGCAACATAACAATACAACCTTTGGAGAGTCAGGATGCTTTCAGTTTTTATGCAACATGGCCTCAACATATCGTCTCTTGGGGGAAATCAAAACAACATATTTACCAAAATGTTCTGCTATTGCTTAAAGAACAGTATTTGAGTACTTCAAAGTAACTGAATTATGTGTTTGTGTCAATCGAGTGTTTCCAGTGTCAGGAATCTACTTTAACACATAACGATTGTCTCACTGTTA